CTTGCAGCAATTCCTCGGAAATGTACATCGTCATAAACTTCAATCTAAGACTAATGTTTGGTGAAATTGAAATTGGTGTGAATTTTAAGTTAATCCAATTCGACTTCGAAAAAAGCCAGAGACTAACCTCTTCTCTTATACTGACAGTGGTGCGTGGTCTTGATTTGCCTTGTCTCAATCAATGCAGCCTGGATGCACTGGAGACGATCCAGAMAAGAAGATTACGCAGCAATCCCTTCAAGTTATGGCGCAACTGAACAAAAACCAAGTGGACCATCAAGCAATCCCTAGGGGGGAGGGGAAGAAAAAAGCTATGCTTAAACACATTTTGATAGCACCACATGCACGAGAACATTATCGAAGTTAACTTTTATAAATGTATTAATGTATAGATTTTATAGTGTAAATTAAGATAGATGCAATCTAATATAAGTAAACACGGTATTGCTATTGTTACGCACCCGTGAGAGATTGGGGGGAGACCCCTAGTAGGTCACGTTTTGTAATCATTTTCAGTTATCTATAAAGATATCTGTGGAAGCAGGAGATAATTCGTAAGTAACATTTAGTCTAGGTTTTTGCATTTCTGCTTTTTTCTTTACCATCGTTCATATTGTAACACTTATTTTTTTCCTTACAGTCGAATCACATCACATCACATTGCACATCAAATCACATCACACGAATCACTTTAAATTACAACACGAAGAGATTGCAGCACGTTCAAAAACCTGTAAAGAAAAGAACCGATTCAACTCTACACATAGGGGCGGTCATTTGATAATTTCATATTATAACATGCTATGGATTATAAATCATTGTCTGTATTTTGTAAGGATAAAAATGTTCTGACATAGGAAAAACATTACGTCCAAGCTAAAGAGACCTATTGATTAATGGCATATTGATGCCTAAATGAGGACCCTTAACTTAGAATATAGAGAACAAGTGCTCACTTGTTATTATACTTCAATTAAACTACAGGAGATCAGTTTTTAGAACTGATTAAGTGCCATATATGAAAGGTTATGTCTAACTCATTTGATCACTTGAACAAATCAGATATACAGCGATCAAATATATAAGGCTTTTGAAGAACAGAAGAGAACATGACTGGTTTATCAAAATATCTCATCAAGTTTCTGCTTCAMCTTTTTTTTATTCTATTGACTTCTTCAATGAASGCGAAATCGGAAGGATCATCTTTCAGCAAAATGCCGTTCYACAAGCTCGATGGGAACATCATTCAAGCCATTGCAGTGCCAAACATTCYTCAGTGTTGTTGGAAATGTGATCGTTYACCAGAGTGTTTCTCGCTGAACGTGGCTGWTGTGCCTGACAAARATGGTTTGTACGAATGTCAGATGCTCCGAACTGAGACCAACAAATATTCTGSACTATTAAAACCATCCCAACACTACCACCACTATACTCGATTAGTTGTAAGTATTGCATAGACAGTGCGTATACATATAATATGTGGTATCAAGATGAAATCCAAGTCAGACCCTCAGACGTTATAAACGAAAAATAGCGAATGTCCGMTGTGCAAAAATTTATCGTCGACATAAATGAGACACGTACGTAATCATAACTTTTAAATTGTTCTTGCCCTAACGAGTCAATCAGGCGACGTTAAATCAACCAATCACAACCTTCGTACCTTCGTATAAAGAAGCCATTTGAGTATTATACGTTTTCTACACTTTAAAATTCTGCTTCAAAGAAAAGGATTTGTAAAGTAATCCCGTGAAAAAATCGGCACTCGGCTTGAAAATGAATACAATAAAACTGCGAAACTGAAACTGAATTATTTTTCTAATGAAATAATCCCGAGGAAAAGTCTTCTGTAAAACGTTCGGGGCGAAACATTAGGCTGATTAAAAATCCCGTTCTTCCTTCCAGCAAACGGCAAACGTGACCACGTTTTCATCGTTTCCCTACATTTCACTTTACCTTTTGCAAACCTTCTCCACAAAGACACGTATTTTTATCTTTATCTACTACTTGGAGATTTTTGCGATTCCTTTTCACTAATTTTAAAGTATTTTTTGATTGTCAACTGACGGTTCACGTTTGTCGTAAACGAGAATCTTAAACTCCCTTGCTTTAACGTTAAGGCACATTTTTAAAAAACTCCTGAAAAATGATCCATTATTAACGAGAACCTAATTGCATCATTAAAGTGCAAATGAACCCTTCGACAATACTTTCAGTACTGATGCTCAAATCAAGAAATATTTTACCATTCAACTATTTACTTTATGCAGAACCAGTACTGAAAGTATTGTCGAAGGGTTCATGTGCACTTTAAGTAGCGGTAGTCCAGAACCGAGTATTATTCTCGATACCTGCAAGAGAACTAACTCCAGTAATAAACATAATGTATACCAATTAATTTTTAATTACTTCCTGATATGAATAATCACCACTAATACATTGTAAAATATATACCTGTTTAAAAAACCTTGTCGTTAAAGTTCGAAAAATCACATTTCTAACTGTAAGGTCATGCATTTTACAGAGTGCGTTTCTTGACGTCTCAGATTTCATATTACAGATCTTTAACCGACAACGTTTATTGAAAGAGGTGATATCGAGTTTGACGATCACATCATTCATCTTCATTTGACGGTGTTAAATACCGAGTGACAAGTGCGATATTCCGTGGTGTGTCACGAGAACGACAATGTTTAAGTTTGCACATGAAAATGTCAACGAAATCTGACGGCCGCTTTTTCGTGTCAAAATTGATATAATTCTTCCGTCAGTTTTTAATTTATCTCTACCGTCCAAGACCTAAATTTTTTTCCTCGTTACAGTCCTGTCTTTTTTACAATCGATTTTTAAAATTTTTTTTGAAATTTCTTGGTTTTTCGTTAACTATCACAGGATAAATATTGAGTACATTAGCCAATCGGATCGCAGGATTTGTGATAGTATGCTAGTAGGCCTAGGTTTATGCTAATATAAATTATATTTTACATTCTTGCCATTTATTATTATATTATGTTTAAATTATAATTTAAGGCGAAGTTTTGAGGCTCGTTTTCCTATTTCAGACCACGTGTCAATCTCTCGACAATACGACCTTTGGTTTTAGTATCCATATTCATGTGACTTCTCATTCGCAACCGCTAAACGAAGAGATGATACTCTAGGGAATAATACGTGGTCTGAAATAGGAAAACGAGCCTCAAAACTTCGACCAAGAAATGATACTCTAGGGTTGGTTTTAGTATCCATATTCATGTGACTTCTCATTCGCAACCGCTAAACGAAGAGATGATACTCTAGGGAATAATACGTGGTCTGAAATAGGAAAGCATTACGCCCAAGGTAAAGAGGCCTATTAGAATGATTTTCATATGACCGTGAAAGAAAATAGACCATTTAGTTTGTAATAGTTGATAAAGAACAAAAGAAAATCATTGGTTTAGAGTCTACTACTAACTATTAGTTTGCCTATTCTTTCACGATCATATGAAAATCACTCTAATACATGCAATGTCAATGAAAACATTACGTACTTGGTGTATATGCTTAATACAGCTCCCTAAAAAGTGGCTCAAATGACGATCTTTTGATTACAGGACAAATGCACAAGAGTAAGCTGTCTTAATGGAGGAACGTGTGAATCCAATGGATGTTTTGACTTCCGGTGCATATGCCCGCAAGGATTCACGGGACATCTGTGCGAGGAAAAAACCTGTAAGTTTTTACTATTAGCAAAAATTGTGTTTGCGCATCGGGTCCTAGTCTAAAAATAAATCAGTGTTTTCGCAATATTTTTTTCATTTTGAAGCATGCAAATAATTCGAAACTGAGGTATATTAATATATTTTCTTTAATCTCTGTTTATCAAACATAGCGATTGCCGGTTCTTCAAAATCTTCGTCGTGCAAATGGGCGAAAATAAACCCAACTCCTGTCTGCTTTGGAACCAGAAACTCGTCATTCGGTCGATTCTACGTCAAACAGCCWGCAGCAGTGACGTCAKTCAAGCTGGTGCACCTATCAGGATTTKTCACGTGTGATGTAAACGACCAATCATCAAGAAGCTTCTGGGGATGCGCTGCATACCAATCCCATTCGGACAAACTCTTAACTATCATCACCAACAACCTTAACCAAAGGATCCTTCCCCAGAATGAGTTTATTACCAACTTGCTTCACCTGGAGTACACTATTCCTCAGGTCACATCTTTGTCTTCAGAACTCTCGTACCAGAACTTTGCTATTCCAATGATTGTCACCGCTGGTCAGGAGTTTCGCATTTGGTATGGGCCTGATCTCCAAGACAACGGAGAAGAAAACAGCGGAGGGACAGCTGATGTTGACGTTTATGTGTGTATTGCAAGCATTATTTAGGATAGGATAATAATAACGACAGACGGGAGGTATGACTGGAAATTATTTTAAAACTATCGAATACAAAACAAATATGCATATACTAAAGTGCACAGGCGAACTTAAAAAATTAATGAATTATAGTGATCTTGGTGATCTCGCGAAAAAATAGAGTCTGCTGAACCGAGCTGCTAATTAGTTGCCATTATGCACGAGCTATTGTCTGAACCAGCCAATAAGAGCGGACCTTCATATCCCATATCATTAAACAGGTCCACATCCATATCCTGCAAAGCAGACTAAAAGAATCGTGGATATTTCTTCATTTTTGTCTTYTTAAATTTAGAAATTGCATCAAGTAGTAAGTATGAAGTATCTAGCTGATCTGAGAGAAAATGTTGGCCAATCAGAATCGAGAAAATTTGCAAAACTAARGTGTCACTAGTTCCTCTTGAAATTATAGATTTCCAGGCCACCAAATGAAAAAAAWWAMSKTKSMAATCACTGGAACAAATGAATATTCTAAACAAAATCGAGGCTAATATTGTGCAACAGACAACTCGAAACTAGAGTGTTCCATCATTAGTTATCAAACAGTTGAAATATAAAAGATGTATCTATCAATAATCCTTGCTGGTCTTAGCTTTATAGCTTTTCAGGTGACTAACGTAACTTGGTTGAAATGAGCCAACGATGAAAAATATGCAGTTGGACATTAATTTTATCAATGAATAAATAAACAATTAAATTATAACTATATACTATTAATCTAAAATATTTCCGCCTTGTCAAATGCATTTTTTTCGGTTAAATTTTGGTAAAAAGCAAAGACTAACGATTTCAAGGAAAAGAAGAGAGCAAAGACCCCGTGGGAAAAAATCTACAAATAAAACGGATTTAAAACCATTGTTTGTTTCGAGTACACAGATGTGGTGAGAAAAATCAGCACTAATTTCGACACCAACGGCAATATTGATAAAATATTAGTCGTATATTAGTTTTTTTTTTTTTTTTTTTTTTTTTTATTTTCAAAGTTAGTTGACAACAATTGATTAATGTTTATACGCCTGAACCTTAATTAAGATGACTTCCCGGCACTCATTTAGTGGATGACAGGTTTTTTAAATCAAGCATAAAATAATGAACAGGTCCACAAAAGCTTGAAAGGAAAATGATGTTAACATTGCGAAAATTWAAATTATTCAACTTTCCGATTTAATTCACGAGACACTTATCATGAGACACTWAGAAAATAGAACCCAAAACATAACAGACTTCTCTTTTTGATTTGGGGTTGTTAATGTTGTCGACTTTACTTTACGATAGACCRTTGCCAAATATACGACCGTCTATGAACTTCCAGTTCACGTCATATGGACCTGGTCTTAAAAGGCGAGGGTTTCTGACAAAAATATTGCATCTTTTGCATCCATTCGTATCCATCTCTTACCTTTGTTTCATTTTCCAAAATGCTCTTTAATATAATATCTTTGATTTTTCTTCCGAGTTTACACATGATA